CACTTGGCATTTTCAATTGGCGTCAGTTAGCACAGAAGAGAAATGACTGGCGTGCTGTTTTGGACTCGGCCAAAATCGCTTAGGCGGTTACAGCGCCAAATAAGAAGAAGAAGAAATAATTAACAATATTTACAAGAATACATACATAAATCAATACACAAAACGTTTTCGCTCATAACGATTGGATAGCCTCTACACATGCTATGATGACTCATGCTTACGACGTAATACCGAAGTACTATTAAAACTACTATATCTGGAGAAAGAAAAATCGAATCGCAACACACGAAAATAATGCCCTAAGTAGAAATGAGCAAAAAATTTGATATTTTCATTATATAACCTCAAATATCGCAAAAATTCGTGTTTTTGGCAATCTGGGGGTAGGATATCTAAAAATTCTAGTACCAGAGCAATTGTGCGGCCAGATTTGGATTCAGCACCAAGAAACGATATGTTTTACTCAGGTGGTAAAAAAATCAAAATTGGTACAAACAATTAGAAAAGAAAAAAAGAAATACTTAACTTACCTGCGTGCTAGCATTTTCAACACGACTAGAATTCAACAAGGTGGGTTTGCAGATTCAGCTTTTTATCAATCATGGTTGTATTTTAGTGCATTTAAATTTGTATATTCTTGTAAATTCCGCATCTTCATGAGACACCGCAGCTTATAATATCTCAAATTATTTTGAGGTTTTAACTATCTCGGAGTAATATTAGTTCAAAAAAAGCACTAAAAAAGGCACTAGGCACAAAGTAATTTTTTTTTTGGCGTTTTAATTTTCAAAAAGCACTAAATCTAGTGCTTAAAGCACCAAGTTGGCAACTATGGTTTTCCCCTTCCGATAACTTTTTGCTTCCGCGCTTGCCAGCACCGCTGTGCAAAGCTTTGCACGCGCAGCCGCCCGCGACACATATGTGCTGATTTGGGCATCCCTACCTTAGACGGTGGAAAATTAAAATAAAATAGCTTCAATAATATAAAAAGAAATTTAAGTTTGGCCAACTACATATGTATGTATGTATGTATCAGGGTTGTTGCGAATATTCGCATTCGCATTCGCAACCGCGGAGCTTCCGCATTAATTTGAACATTCGCATTCGCTTTCGCATTCGCAATAATCAATGCGGATCTTTTGCGAATGCGAATATTGAAGGGACCGAAAGTAACAGTTATTTTCTTTACGAGTTATACTTGGCCAAATATTTTTTATTCCCAACTAAAAGTCCTTTCCGGACAATAAACAAACCGCTTATCCAAATTAAACAAGTTTGGTATCAAATGAAAGAGGACTGAAATAGCTTTTAAACAGAAATAACGAACGAAGGTTACCACCTCTATTTATATATTTCTTTTATATCATTTAATACTAAAGAAATTCATATACCTGACCCAAGGTTTGTTCTATGGTAATTAATTATCATTTTTTATTGAAATATTTTTCAGTAGGTGACTTTGCTTGTTTAGGGCCAATTTCACAGTGCGTAGTTAACTCAGAATCGACAGTTAACTAGAGATTTTCAGTACAAAATTCTGTAGTTAACTCCCGATTCTGAGTTAACTTCGCATTGTGAAATTGGCTCTTAGACATTTCAGTTTTAAAGCTATTTAAGTCCTCTTTCATTTGATACCAAACTTGTTTAATTTGGATAAGCGGTTTGTTTATTGTCCGGAAAAAAACTTTCGGAATAAAAAATATTAGGCCAAGTTTAACTGTTTACTGTAAAATAACTGTTTCGGTCCCTGGAATATTATGCAAGTGCAATGATAAAACGTATATCTGGTCAGTCACAGAAGAAAGGATCAAAAATGAATTACAAAAACTAAAATCGAAAAACGCTGTTGACGTTACTGGTTCTCCACATTCAGAAACAACCAAAAGAGTGAGAATGAAGAATTCTTTGGAAAACAACGGTGTTTAATCAACGATCTTGCTATGATACTAGATTGTTAAGATGAAAGTCAGGAGGATACATACGACATTTGCAGACCGATGCAATTCCCAAAAACGAGTAATTGCACCGCAATAAAAAAAATAAATATAACTGAAAGTCCTCTCGACTGGTGCAGCGTCAATCAAGAAGAATTTACAATTTTGTCAAGTTTAAAGTTTTTCGCAGCGAGCGAGTAGTTATTTAGTGGCGCAGGTTTGATTTACGACCCTTTAAAAACATTTTATTGAATACAATGTTCCAATTTTTGAATTCAAGTACTAAAAAAACCTATTAAAAATTACTAACCTTTCCATTTTTTTTTTTTAAATAAATCACCTAATTTACTCACCTAAATTATTTTTTAACAAGTAAAAAAGTCTAAGATCGGGCGGAGCCGAACACATTAAAAACCCGGCGCAAGTATTCAATATAGTTTTTTCACCTTTCCGAAAACTACCGCTACATGGTAAGCAGTGGTGGTTTTACGTCTATTTCAAACATCTTCGATAGAACGTTCAGTTAGACATAATGAGATAAACTTATATAAATATATGTGGGCGGCATCACGCCCATTTTCCAAAATTCCATAATAATGTTACTTCTTTTCAAGGGATTGTGGTTAGTATCAATTTTGGGTAAAATTAGCGTTAAAAAAAGGTGGTCGTAATTTTAGTCAAATTTCAATAACTTTCAACGTTTTGCCTTTATGGGACAACCACAATAATCATACCGAGTTTGGTACACATTGATCGAACGGTTACCGAGATACACATATGTGGTTTTAAGTAGGCGGGGTCACGCCCATTTTCCAACATTTTATTATAAGCGTACTTTTTGCTAAAGAATTATTGCAAACATCAATTTTGAATAAATTAGCTGCAGTATGGATTACTGATTTATCGAAGCTTTCGTATTTCTCTAAATTACCGTTATGTGGGATGTGGGCGTGGTTATTATCCAATTTTTTAAATTTTCAGCCGTTTGGTATATTTTGTGAAGGCCAACAACTGTGCCAAGCTTGGGAGAAATTGGTGGAGCGGTACCCAAGATATACACATGTAATCATAAGTGGGCGTGCCTACGCCCATTTCCAAAATTTTGTAATATTCACATTTTTAATTGCATATCAAAATAAGTACACATACCAAGTTTCTTTAAGATATCTCAATTTGTACTCGAGTTATCGTGTGCACATACGGTTACTCTTTTAATTCTGAGCATTTATGTATACATTTGTCTATATCTATCTCGATTCGTTTTGCCTGTTACAAACAGCCGTTATGTGAAAAAAAGTTATAATACCCTTGCGTACAAGTGCGCTCGGGTATAAAAATACTTGACATCCGCATTCGCATTCGCATCCGCGGATGTTAGCGTTTGAACATCCGCATCCGCATTCGCATCCGTGGATGTCTAAAATTCCACATTCGCAACATCCCTGGTATGTAAAACCAAAATAACGACTATTATATGAGTGCATGACTGTGAATTTGACAGAATCAGCTGTGTGCGTGACGTCATCCTGGTGCAATTGTTGATTGAAGAAAACCAAATAACGATTTAACTGGGAACGGTTTAGTTATTTGCCCAATGATTTGGGACTATTGTGGCCGAATGGGTGACCCGGTCAAACAAATTTTACACACACATATGTAGCCAAGAGTCTACACTCTACACTATGAAACCCATTTTTGTAATTTGAGGTCACTAACTTATTAATAAATGCGGTCTGAAAAATACACATTTTGTGAATTTCGGAGTGAGTTCTACGCAAATAACAGACATGTCTCGAGGGATCAGGTGTGGCTCTTTACAAAGTGTGGACTGTGCTCTTTCTAGTGGGTTAGATATCAAGACCCACGCCCAATCCCACTCCGCCCACTAACGCAAAAAACAGTGGGCAAATAGCTAAATATTTCCAAGATATACACATTTCCAATTTAGCTATTTGTGCGTTAATATTTCTGCGTAGTCTTGCACAATTTTTGAAACATTACAAGGCAAAATAAAGTCTGCAGAGGCAAATTGTAAACATCCGGCATATGCTAAAAATCGTACTTAACTAAAGGGCTACATGCCCAAAATCATTGCTACATGTTCCTATTTAATTAAACTCCGTATATTTCTTAATTCCTGCAAAATTGGACAATTTAATATTGATATTAACACATTTTTCCGCATTGTTTACATATTTTCCTATGGGTTTTGGCATTTCTCTCTCGCAATTGCACCAAGATGACGTCATGCAAAAATTACGCTCAAAAATCCTCTCTGATGGGCGCAATACAAGAATGATAGAATACAAAGATTGCGCCGATAGGGGTTCTGCGCATCTACGTCACAATATCAAAGTTGTTGTTGGCGAGCTGTCAAAACGCATACAATTTCTACACAGAAATGTAAATATTGCACACAATTTAGTTAAATAACTATAATAAAACAATTCAAGTGCAATTTACTGAATCGAGGCGAAGGTAAATATATTCTTAACTCATTTCGAAACAAAATCTTGAATATAATTTTATTGCAGGCAGCCAGTAGTCCATTGAAATGGAGCTGGCAAAATTTTTGAAGCTGGGAGCAGCGATTTTCTTGTGCGCATGATTTTCAGGTTTATGAAAATGTGAGTAAGACTCATTAATAAGCTGCGTACTTAAAATAACAATATATTTACAATTGCAGAGTGAGCAGAAATTTATTCCATCATTCTTGGGCGCAATATATTTTTGTTCGTCTCTATACAAGATTAAAAACAGTAATCTATTCTTTGATAGATTGTCACATTGTGTAAAATATTTTTCTTCATGTACATATGTATGTGTATGAATGCGAATTACATGATTTTTCGGTTATTGAAAATAATAAAAAGCAATGATGTGAAGCCAAATAGCATTTTTTTAGGTTTTTTCTAACTTGATACTTAGATACTTAAATAAAAAATTTGTGATACATTTGATCCATTTTTTTGTTTCTTCTACGATACATTTTTTCATGTCGTCACGGCAACACTGCTTGTATTCTATCATTCTTGGTACATATCTACATAGTTATGTATGTACATATGTGTTCTAAAATGGTTAATCAAGTTAAATGGCAACTCTCTTCGACTGATAAGAGCAGAGAAAAGTAGCGAACAACACCAATGCTCTCTGGGAAAATTACATTTGAGAGCAATAAAAAGAGCTCAGTCGGTGTTCAGTGGCATCTTGTTCAGTCAGTGCTAAAGTGAATGGAGCTGAAAATGCATTGGTTTTACTAGGCTCCTTACGTGATTATTGTTTACAAATAAATATTTCGTTTCATAACTCGCATTTTAGAGAATTCGCTGCTATAATTATTGAAAGATTTTTGTTTGAGAAGCTCCACTCTGATTAAATGTGTTACTAGTTGAAGTGTAAGTTTTATTAATTCATTACACTAGCTAAAAAAAGCGAACTCGATGCAATAAAATACATGCCTACAAGTGCGTTTTTATATATTGATGTATGCACATGTTTTTAATAACATACACACATATGTATAAGTATGTACATAAGTATGTTGATGAAAGTAGAAGAATGGCTTAACGATTTTACTTATGTATATACATACATATAATGTATACATATATGTTTCTGTATATGCATAAGTACATGCTTATGTGGGTTTGTAAATACACACGTACATATTTGTATGTATGTATGTATGTTTATATTGATGTATTCCTATGTGTGTACATGCGTGTGATGTGTTCTGTGCAAAGTATGCTACAATTAAATTTGTAAGAATGTGCCTTTCTTCTGCCTGCTGTGACATTCCAAAGACAAATATTGATTAAATTTGATTTTTATTAAGTTTGCATGTGAATAGGTATGTATGTATGTATGTATCTACATACATTCTGATTGGTAAAGTTACTTAATTAAGAATTAATTCCAATTAAATAATTACTAATACATACATACATATGTATGGTAAAATGTGTCCACAGAGCAAAAAATAATTTTTTTGTTCCTGTCATTAAAAACTCAAAATGAGTCTCTTAGTTATTAACCGGAAAGTATGGCTTCTTATATGTATGTACATAGGTCCCGAAAATTCCGGGATTCTTGGCAAATAATACCGGGATTTTCGGGATTTGTAATTTGCACTGATGGCAATAATAGAAACTCCTTTTCTTCACCAGTATTGGCTTTATTAATTTTTTTAATTTAATAATTAATATTTTTTACGTAGAATACGTCTTACGTTTCGATATGGAGGCTATGCTCAAATGCTGTAGTTGTAATTTTTAGAGCTTCACGAAAACGCTTATTGCACGAGAACTAGTGAAGCGATTTCAAAGAAGAGTACGCCGTTCCCAAGACAAAATTCCAAACCTATCGACAGATACATTTATGTAAGTAACCGATTCGGTGTCTGTTGTAGAAACAGCTTATTTTGGGATCAATTTTGAGCCTTTAAAGCGCTCTAGCAGCTTATTATTGGCAGATATATAACTTTCAATTTCGGGATATAGGTTCTTTGGAGCAGAAGAAATATTTTCGTGTACAAAGTTTATATAAATTCATCAAATATCGAGCATTTAAAGGCAAAAAAATTGTTGAAAAAATTTGCACATTTTTTTTTAATACCAAAATGCTCGAAAACCGCTCCAAAGATTTTGTTTTTGTTTTCTTTAATCAAAAATTCAGGTGTTTTCGTTCCGTTTGGTATATGGGAAGTATTGGTTGATATCTTCTAAGTATGTTTATTTTATTCAAATATATATGGGCATAAATGCTTTTCCATACAAAATCACTTCGTCTTCAGTTTGCAAACACGTGCATGTGTAAAAACAGTTAGGTGCTCGCAGAGACAAAAGGATACCAAAAACAGATTGCGCAGGTGAGGGGAAATATGTTTAAGCTGATCGCAGCATATTTCGCACATGTGCCTACATATTATATTATATTATAGATATGTATATTCCTTATACATATATACATACATACATATGTATGCATATATACATACATACATATATGTATGCATAATACGCGAAAGCTTTTTGTCATATCATCAGATCTGTAATGTTAAATCGATTTTAAAAAATGAGGTATCAGATTAAAGAACTTGGCCTGTAGATGTGCAATAGCTTCTTATTTTTTCAAAACGAGTTGCCACCTGATAAAAAAATTAAATTCAAATTATTTTTAAGTTAAATCAATTATTACACTATGAGTATCGATCCAAATGGTTTTGAAAAGGCTTTATTTCTTAATTACACATATGTAGGAGGGTTGCTACCTGTTCGCAAGTTCGTATTAAATAAAGGCAGAAAATTGAAATTTATATCCTGATATGGATATCAGACGAAAGAGGTTGTGGTTTGAAAATATTTTGAATAGGGTTGCCAGCTGTTTCAAAATTAGAATTTAAATAAAGTATCGTTACGATTATCCTCGAAACCTTGAGGGATTTCCCAAATATCCTACGGATCGTATCGCTGGATTGTAAAATAAATGCTCACGATGACCAAATTGCAGTACAATTAACTTTATTGTACAACAACAATTTACAATACTCGCTAATACAGTAAAAACAATTTACAATACTCGTTAAAGCAATTACAACGCTTTACAAAACTGGTTAACACAAACTTGCTTATTCGCAAATCACTTTACTTGTAGCTTGTTGACTTGTAAATAAATCTCCTAGCTGTGTGGTGGCCCTTATATACCTGCGCTTGATATCATGGCAACTCTAGAATGTTCTGAAGTTCATCGCGCATTCCCTTTCTCTCGCTGTTCGCAGTGTTCATCCAACTTGACGTTTCTGATTGTGGAACATTCTACTTCATTCCTCGAACATTCTGCCTATTTCTTGTTGTTCGCTTCGCGTTGCCGCAGTATTCGCCACACTGCCCTCCACCTAAGTCTGATCGTCCCGATCAGACACACTTGCTGTTCCAAACGCTGCAAGCCTTTCCAAGTGGACCACCTTCATCTTGTTTCTTGGTCTCCCAACGGTCTGGATTCGATACACTACGTCATACAGCCGTTTGTCGACCTTATACGGACCTTCGCAGTTGCATTGTAGTTTTGGGGACAAACCTTTCTTCCGTTGTGGATTGTACAGCAACACTAAAACTCCCTCTTGGAAACCTTCGGAGTTCATTGCCTTATCGTACCTGGCCTTCATCTTGTCACTCATAATTTGAGTTCGCTGCCTCACAGGAGCATGTATCTCTCTCAGCTCCTCTTCCAGGATGTTGGACGTCTCTTTCCCGATTCTCCTTGCATCGCCAGTTACTCCAAACTTCAGATCACTAGGCAAACGGAGCTCACTGCCGAAGATTACCCTTGCAGGAGTTTTACCCGTTGTTTCATGCACTGCTGACCGGTATCCCATCAGGAACAAGGGTATGCGGACATCCCAATCTTTCTGATTTTTGTCCACGACCTTCCGCAAATGCTCTTCCAGGGTTGGGTTGAACCGTTCCACCATGCCATCTGATTGGGGATGAAGAGCCGTTGTTCGAGTTTTCCGGATACCCAGTTGGAACACCGCCGATTCAAAATTTCTTCCCTAGTCAGAGTGCAGCTCTTTACTCCGCTACTGTTTTAGCTTCCTGGTTTGGAATCGGGTATACCTCCGGCCATTTGCTAAAGTAGTCCATAACCACAAGGCCGTATTTTTTCCCTGTGCGCTCAAAGGAAATGGACCTGCTACATCCATGGCAATCCGCTCGAATGGTGCACCTGAATTATAGTGCTTCATCTGGCCATGACTTCTGGATTTCGGGCCTTTAGCTGCAACACACTCCACGCAGTTAGCAATCCATTCTGCGACCGATTGGCGACATCCAACCCAATATAACCTCTGCTTAATCTTCTCCAGGGTCTTCGTGATTCCCAGGTGCCCTCTACTAGGACCATTGTGGAATTCCTTGAGTACATCCGAAATTCTTACCCTTGGAACTACTATCAGGTTGCGGGAGCACTGGCCATCTTCGCTTTCCCATACCCTGTGCAAACAGCCAGATATTAATTTTAAGCTGTTCCATTGTGCCCAGTACGCCTTTGCGATGGGGCTTTCCGCTGCCATTTGCTCCTTAGTTGGCCTTGTGTCCACCTCCAGTCCATGCATCAAAAGCTCCAGATCTGGATCTTCCTGCTGACACTTTCGTAACTGTTCTTCCTTCCACTCTTCCGCTGGTGTTATTGTCGTCTCTCAATCCACCGAGCTAGTTGTCCTTCTGGATTCTTAAGTAGCCACTTCAGCGCTGCATGGTCCGTTCTAACTCGGAAACGTTGCCCATAGAGGTACTTGTGGAAATGTTTGACGCAGTCCACCAACGCTAGTAGTTCTCTCCGAGTTACGCAGTAGTTCCTCTCTGGTTTTCCAATCGACCGGCTATAGTAGGCAACTACCTTCTCCTGCCCATCAATTACCTGCGACAGTACGCCTCCTATGGCATAACCACTAGCATCCGTATCCAAAATAAACGTTGCACCTGGAACGGGATACGCTAGCATAGGTGCAGTACATAGCCATTCCTTCAGAGTTTGAAAAGCCCCCTCCTGCTCCTTGTTCCACTCGAAGGCTCTATTTTTCCTAGTGAGCTCGTGGAGGCTATTAGCAACGCTGGCGAAATTCGGAAACAATCGGCGATAGTAGGTGCATAGCCCAGGAAAATTCGTAGCTCGTGCAGGTTCCTAGGTCTTGGCCAATCCTTTACTACTTCTATCTTTTCCTTCGCAGTACAGACGCCCTCCGTTGTCACCTTGTGTCCCAAGTAGTTCACCTCCTTCTTGAACAGTGAGCACTTTTTAGGACTTAGCTTCAGACTAGCGCCAGCTATTGTCTGGAAAACTTCTTCCAAATTGTTCAGGTGTTCCCCAAAACTTTTACCCAATACGATAATGTCGTCTAGATACACCTAACATGTTTTCCAATGCAGTCCTTTGAGCACATGGTCCATAAGTCGTTCAAAAGTGGCAGGAGCGTTGCATAATCCAAAGGACATCACCGTGAATTGCCAAAGACCATCTCCAACGCTGAAAGCTGTCTTCTCCTTGTCCTCGTCACTTACCTCCACTTGCCAATATCCGCTCTTGAGGTCGAGTGTTGAGAACCACTTCGTTCCAGTCAACGAGTCCAGAGTATCATCGATCCTGGGAAGTGGATAGCTGTCCTTTTTCGTCACATCATTTAGTGTCCGGTAGTCTACACAGAACCGCATTTGACCATCCTTCTTTTTCACAAGCACTCCATGGACTGGCTGATGGTTCAATCATACCACTCTCGCTCATTTCTTTTAGTATTTGGCTAACAGTGGCAAGTGGAACACTCCGATGAGCTTGACGGATTGGCCTTGCATCGCCAGTATCAATGCGATGTTTTACAACGTTAGTCCTGCCTGGTTTGTTG